GAGATCCAGTAGAGTGATATATTAATGGGTAAATGAGGGCACAGATTGTGTTGTAAAGAACTTTGAGTGTCTTGATAAGATAGAAAGGTGATATATAAGTACAGTCCAGTTGCCATTTAACTATGAAATCATGAATGACAAGAGATATCCCGAGGTGACGTGTTGTTCGTCAGTGTAGTTTATTAATACACTGAATTCCTGCAGGTTCTTGATGGTTTGCGTTGCAACATTTCTGTAAGAGTGGCATTTCCCTTCATGACACTCTTTAAAGCTAACAGAAGTAAAGCATCAGTAACGTGTCATGTGACAACATTTAGACTGAAATGTTTTACTTTTTTAGTTGTTGTTTTTTGACATTTATTTTTAGTTAGTTGTTTTTTATGTTGTTTTCCACTGTGTTGTATGATTGGTATATGAATCACTCTGGGCATGTAACAATGTAAATGAGCGACTTTGACAAAAACAAGAAAAAATAAGTACATTTGTTAATCGGGAATGTTACAGGAGGATATATAATCCAAGGATGAGAGGTATACCAAAGCAGCCAGCAGTCCAAAGGCCAATTAGTCACCACTTTACATGTATGTTGCATGTCTGATAGAGTAAACCCAGAACAGACCCTAATCTGCACAACTCCACACATGAACACCCCAGCTGAGATCTAAACCACGTCTCCAGTGATGCTCGTATCTCACTGGGCTGAGGCTGCTTGTGACCAGTTGGAGACACAGGTTTGTGAGAAATGACTCACTTTAACTTGGAATCACACTGAATTTGTAACATGACACAGTTGTGACTTACAGTATGCACAGTAACTATGAATACGTTGTAACATATTCACGTTGGTGTATTTGCGTTTAAAACATGCAAAATATTGTGGAAGTGCAAATGAAATACACATGCATCATTTTATTTGTTCACTTTAATATACTGTAAAGTAGAAACCCCTTCAAGAAACAGTTCTCTTGTTTGCATTGCAGAGCCACTACTGGGAGTCTGCAGTAAATGTTTAACAGCTTTAGTGTCTACTTTACAGCAGTGTTAAAATACAAGTGTCTTGACAGATCAGCAGCACTGGGAGCAACAGTCTTGATCACACCTTTGCTCTGAATAGGCATGGACATGTGTGGTTGAGCGGGTGGGGGTGAGGGAGGAGTGTGAGACGTGCAGCTCATAATCGCTCTCAGGTGCAGTGTGTGTTTCAACAGCAGTGTTGCCCAGAGGCGCCTCCGCCACCACGGCACATCCTGCTGCGACGCACTGAGCCAAAGCACCGCGTGTGTTTGTGAATCATTGTGTAACTTTTAAATGGGAAGATTTGCATTAAAAATCACAACTTAATTTCTTTGTTCTGTTTGTGCCACTCTGCTTTACACTGCTGGTTCTTGTTCCGACAAACAAAGTTGTTGTTTTTATTAGAGCCCCAACCGATATGGAAAGGTTGGATATTGTCGATACTGATATTGGGAGGGGAAGGCTAATGTCGTGATAACCGATATAATGACGGAAAAATTTTGAGCTTTGTCCACCCCCAAGATTGATTTGTGTCCATCCTAGGAAATGTCTGTGCTTAGGGGCCATGCGGTGCTTGTTTATTTAGCACAGCTGTGTTAGCAACCATGAAGCTAAGCAAATCAGATGCGCTCTACGTAGTCCCACAGTAGGTTTACAAGTGGTGCACTGGTCATAAAATCAGTCTTCCTAATGTGTGTTCACATTTTCTGTCCTCCACTATTCACCATAAAGTTATCAAATGTGTTACATAAATATAAATTAAACAAAGAAATGCCCTGTTGATTGTTTAAGCAGTCGGTTGCTATGGTGAAGAGTCTAATTAGTATTGACAACAGCTGAGGTTTTTTTTTCTTTGTAGAGAAGTAAACATTTCAGACAAACAATAATTTCATTGAGGACGACAAAGATAACATTACTAACACCGATATATTTTACTCTACGTTAGATTTATTGTTCTGGCTAAAGTTTTACAAAGCATGCCTATGCTAGGCTATCTAAACATTAGCTTGTTGATTGAGAGGCACAAAGCTAATGACAAGTGGGTTGGAAGATTGAAGAGAATTTATTTTTGTTGATTTTTTTTATTCTATTTTACAGATCAGTTCCAATAAACTTACCATGCTCTGTTCAGCAAAATACGGTACACAGTATTGCTCGCTGCTTCTCAAGTGTGCTGCACGACAATGACTTGAAAGTAGTCTGAATGCGCCCTCTGCTGGATACATTGTACAATTACACCATTTGCAAGTAAGGACACGGCTGGATCCCAGCATTTTAGTGGTAAAAATGATGTGTTTATTTTGGTGCATAATGGGCCAATTATCACTGATACATGTCCCCAAATGCCTATATCAGCCTAAAATATCGGCCCTACTGATAGATTGGTTGGGGCTCTTGTTTTTATGCACTTTCAGTTTTATTTGTTATTGACCTTGTGCACCAAAAGTCCTGTTTTCTTTTGTTTTGATTCTCCTTGACGAGAGGAACAATTTTAGAGGATTTGTGATTGATTACAACAGAGAATACTAATCCAGCGGTACACACAGTGCACCGTGCACAGTGCATTGGTATTGAGAGGACCAAAGCCACATATGCAAAGAGGATCCAGGGTCAGTTCACCTCACAAGACCCACAGAGCATGTGGAGGGGCATGAAGTGTATAACAGATTATAAAGGCTGCGGTGCACATTGCCCTAGAGACCCATCACTGCTTGATGCCCTCGACAAATTATACGCATGCTTTGAAGACCCGAACAGACCACCCAGCATGAGACTAACCTCACCACCAGAAGAAGAGTTTCTCAGCATGACCTCAGCAGAAGTAAAGGAGTACTATCAGGCAGATTAATCCTCACAAAACAACTGGCCCAGACAACATCCCCAGGAAGGTGCTGAAAGAATTTGCCGATCATCTCTGCGAGGTGCTGGTCGACATCTTTATCTCCTCCCTCATCCTGGCAAAAGTTCCCACCTGCCTGAAGACTGCCATCATCATCCCAGTTCCAAAGAGCTCTACAGTGACTGGTCTGAATGACTATCAGCCAGTAGCCCTCACCTCGGTAGTTGCTAAATGCTTCAAAATACTGGTCATGACCCACATCAAAACAACCATCAACATCAACGAGGACCCTCATCAGTATGCATACCACGAGAATCAATCAACAGAGGATACCATCTCCTCTGTGGTGCACACTGCTCTCACCCAGAATAATCACTGTGGAAAAATCACTTCATGTTGCTGCTGATCTGTTTCATGTTGCTGCTGATCTGTTTCATGTTGCTGCTGATCTGTTTCATGTTGCTGCTAATCTGTTTCATGTTGCTGCTAATCTGTTTCATGTTGCTGCTGATCTGATTCATGTTGCTGCTGATCTGTTTCATGTTGCTGCTGATCTGTTTCATGTTGCTGCTGATCTGTTTCATGTTGCTGCTAATCTGTTTCATGTTGCTGCTGATCAGATTCATGTTGCTGCTGATCTGATTCATGTTGCTGCTAATCTGTTTCATGTTGCTGCTGATCTGATTCATGTTGCTGCTGATCTGTTTCATGTTGCTGTGTTCATTCGTACTCATCTGCTCACACAGACTCATGTTCGTGCTACTGTTCAGCGTAGATTTTGTACTTAGTGCTTAGTGTATTTTTATGAACGTTTTTCTTAGATCTTATTACTGTTTTTCTTTTACATTTTAATACTTTTGTTTGATTTAACTCGGACCCTGCGTACACCACATGTGGTGTGAATAACAAATAAAGAAACCGACTTTGACACAGTTACAAAAGGGGCCAAAATTAAAAACTTGTTTCAAGCCACAGGCCTATTTCAGTTGCTATATTAACTCAAGTCCATTACCCGCTATCTTTTTATAGTTGCATGTTCACCAACAGGAATTTAATTTGTCCCATTCGACGTTCTCTTTTTCTCTTTCCACGTCAAAATCGATGATTACTGAAAAATCCAACCTTTTTTCTGGCTTCAAAGTTAGTCAAATGTCATGAGAAATCTGCACCAAATGAAGTGTGCTCATTTTTTTAAAAGCAAAATAAGAAGTAATACAAATACAAATATTTTACATTTAAAATATCATCTTGGGAGGCCAGATAAAATGTCAATAAGAGCCAGATTTGGCCCATGGGTCAAATCACGGGCCACCCATGTGCTCTAAATTGTATTCCTACACACAGAAATATGATCTTCTGACCTCTTCCAACATATTTTTCTTTCTTTTATTTTAGCTTCCAACGGTTAGAGACTTGGAAACAATGAGATTTATCTAAATTTAAAACAGATTTTCTCCATATTTCATGCTTTTATTTTAATGTGTAGACTTCACCCTGCTTAATCATGCTTGGAAAATCTTAGCTCCAGATCATAAAATTAGACTCAACCTGGACAAATGTATCCTTGTCTGCATGTCAGGGCTGGTGACAGGAGTTCATTTTAAAGCTTTTAGTTGTTTTTGCTCATACTAAGGACTGAGCGATGATAATGTGCATCCCTGGTATTCTTTCAATTTCTCCACGGTTGGGAATCATTTTTCTTGCTATTTATCACCACGTACAAGCTCCATTATAAAAAGACTGACTAATCAAGCATGTCAGAATAAATCCCTCAGATAACCCAAACAACAAACAGACTGCAGCTCTGTATGTCAAGGCAGACAGACAGGTATTTTTGCTGTCTTGTGACTTACCTACAGGAAACACTTTATTTTGCATCACCACATAGAATGCTGGTAAAAACTTAACTGTTGCTTCAAACCTTTTCTATTCTTCTACAGGTACATTGGTATGGGGAATTGTAGTTTTTCTTGGCTTGATTTAAAAAACAGCAAAAAGTTTACTCTGTCAACCAGTTTGCCAAACTCCCGTACAGTCCGTGAGTTCCACCGGTACATTTGTCAGCAAGGTGTTGCTCTGAGCATCATGGGAAATATGTGCAATAATTCATCCTGTCGTGAACCAGCCTGTCTCTCTTGTCTCACAGATGACGCTGGTCTCTACATTCAACAAGCCGTTGTATTCATTGAGGATGCCGTCCACGTGAGTGCAGAGAATATTAGCTTACTGTTCTTTCATTAATCGGAAATGTTCGATAAATACATGCACAGCTGTCTTATAGTAACGAGCGCAGCGTAAATGTTTGAAGAGGATTTTACCTCAGTGAACTTTATTGCCCACTGCCAAAAATAAAATCAAAGCAAAAATAGTGTTTTTTATTTTTTTGCTGGTGTGTGTCTGTTAGCAAAAGTTCTCATGATCCAATGGATGGATTTTAATGAAACTCACAGAAAGTAATTACTGGATATACTGTACGTCAACAAACTATGTTTTAGTGTCAGTCCATTACAAGATGGCTGCCACAGCTAATCAACATCAGCAAACAAAAATGGCTGTAACACTGTCTTATTCACAGATCGATTATAGAAATGTTGGTATGGTAGTGTCTGAGAGTTATCCCTAACACATACTCTAAGTGCTGACAGACCACGTTTGATTGTTATTTTTTTACTTTGCCATACAATACACTTCACTAGTTACATTCTCTTATTGCTGCCATGTACATTTTTGTATTTGTGGTTTTTCCACTCATTTTGGTATAGTTTTTAATATTCAACATTGTATTGACAAAGCCTGCCTGTCCACAGTACCGGTCCATCAACCACCGGGTGGACGCCCGGTCTCTCCACCTGTATCGATGGTACTACTCCAGGATATGTCAGTGGTACGTATCAGCTGCTTAAGATTTGGGATTTATGGGATACTTTACATTTTTATGAATTTTAGTATTTACCAAGGTGAGGTTTAAGTGTGTTTGAACAAAATGCTTTACTTGTTACAAAATAAATATTAAAAAAAAAAAAGAATGAAACTGCTTTTAATTAGACCATAGGACAGATTTGTTTTGAGAATGTTTCACAGAACTTTTCTGTTTTTTTTTCCAATTTGTGGAAAAATTAATGAATCTGACGACCATTTATTTATTTATTAACTTTTACTAAAGCTGTAAATATTTGCAGGTGTTGTGGAAGGCAACAGAAGAAGTTAAGAGCTGTATTTGGGGAGTGGTGGCGCAGAGGTTAGAAGATGGGCCTGTGATCGGAAAGTCGCAGGTTCAACTCCCGGTACCGTCAACATTAAAAAAAATGTGGGTGGAAAAGGTGAAACACCCACACCCCTCTCCACCCTCATTCAGCCCATTCTGGGCCCCTGAGCAAGGCCCTTAACCCCCACCATCTGCTCCCTAAACAGGTCTCTCTTGAAATGAGTTCTCGTGGCTCAATGAGACTACCTGGATAAATAAAGGCTAAATTAATTTTTTTTAGAAAGAGATGTATTTAGTGATTGTAATGAATTAAAGTATATTCTAAGCAGATTACGCTTCACATAAACACGCTGCAGGTTTGTCCAACCTTCAGACAGCGATTATGTCCACAATGATGTTAGTTCAGTATTAGTTTCCTAACGTACACATTTTCCTAAACTCACAATATAAACATTGTCTGTTTGTAGTTATCTCACATTTGTTCAGACAACACTGACAAATCATTGAACTGACCCCTAAACTCAAGGGATGAGCCCATAGATAACAGAAAACTTTAGCAAAGTATCTATTTTAAATTCAAACTTACAAAGATACAATTTATATTTATAATATGTATATATATATATATATATATAAAATATGTATATATATATATATATATATATATATATAGATATATATATAGATATGTATATATGTATATATAGTTGTTTTTTTTTTTTTTTCCTTTTCATTGACCCTTTATTTATCCAGGTAGTCACATTGAGCCACGAGAACTCATTTTCAAGAGAGGAGCAGATGGTGGTTAAGTGTCTTGCTCATGGGCCCAGAGTGGGGCGAATGAGGGTGGGGGCAGGTGTGGGTGCTTCACCTACCCCACCCACATTTTTTTGATGTTGTCGGTACCGGGGCTTGAACCGGCGATTTTCCGATCACAGGCCCACCTTCTCTAACCTCTGCGCCACCACTCCCCTATATAATATAAATATATATAATATTATTATTAATTATATAAAGTGCCAAGTCACAACAGAAGTTGTCTCAGGGCACTGAACAAAAACATTCACATACATTATACGTGGCAGTTGGTGCAGTTATCTACACCACGAACAGATTCAGGAAAACCTTCATCCATCAAGACATCAGACTGTTCTACTCCTCCCCGTACAAGAAAAAGAGAGCCGTGTAAATCTGCTGCATGCTGAACACATATGTATGTATGTACACTTACATGTACATATCCATATATATATATGCATCTATGTGTATGTATATATACATGCAGTATATAGGTTAATCATGAATGTAGTACTCCTACCTTGTGCATGTGCATATTGTCTTTTTCCAAATTAATGTATTGTGCTTCTTTTTTGATTATTTCATGTTTTTTTCCTGTATACTGTAGTTTGAACATGCTACTGGATGCCTCAAATTTAATCCTGGGATTAATAATGTCTGTCTGTCTGTCATCCCATTACTTTTGGTGAATCTTTAAAAAACACAGTTGGATGGTATAAAGTAGGATTTTAGCACAAAAATATTGACGTGACTTGTTAGCCAAACCCCTGACATACAGCAGCTAATCAGCATCTCTCAAGTCCCGCACTGGATGGATTATTATTATTACGGTATAATATATATTTTTAATTTCTTAAAAAAATGATTTTCAAACACAGTTTATTTGCTGGAGCTAGTTCTTTTAGGCTTGAAACTTCTAATGACCTCCTCTTATTCACCTCCAGATTTTTTTAAAGACTTTCTTGGTTGATTTGGGGTTTTCATCCATTTCCTCTCTGGGTTCCAACTTGTTGATACAAAACTTCACTTATTGCTCAAAATAAATGGGACAGACAGAAAGACCGGCCTCGTAGACAGAATATGTTATCATTCCTCAAATGTTTGGGGGAAAAGGCTTTGTGTTGTAGCTTTTTCATCAAGCGTGTTCATGTTTAGCTCCAAGGAGACGGTTTCATTAAGAAACAAAAGACTGGAGAGATTTATCCATTCACTCCTCCGTCTCTCTCTGCTCCAGGTGCTTGGGGGTCATCATTGCAGTTGTGTTATTGCTAGCATTTGTGGAGCGTCCGTCCTCCCTGTCCATCTCTTCAGACCCCCGCCACAGATCTGTAGCCTGGGAGCCTCCCTGTGGCTTCACCGAGAGTATTGAGATAATCTGCCTCATCCTCTTCACGCTGGATCTCGCTGTCAAGGTAAACACAAGTAACAAAGTCCATGCTTAATAATCCAGGTATAAAATCCTTCGAAACGTTTCAGCACAAAAAAAGAAACTGTCCAGATGACCTGACTGAGAAATGTTGGGTAAACACAAGTAATATGAAAATCATGTTTAAAATGTCAAAAAGACTTTAGTCAGATAACCTTTTCATAGTCACTGTTGTATTATCAGTAAGTAAAAGGTCTTGGACTTTGAAAATGACCAAATGTTCAGTGATCCAAGTCTTGTTTTTAGGGTAATGGACACCATTAAATTCTTTTATACAGAAGTATAAAACCAGTATAAAACCAGAATAAATACCAGATCTCAAGCTAGAGGCGACCGTGTTGTAGCGAGACGGAGAACAGAAATTGGGTGAAAGTTGACGTCAATTAGAGGAACTCATTTATGAACTAAACTATCTGGATATGTCAGACTAAAAAAATAAAAATAATAATTTGTCTTAAAGAAAATCTGTCATGTACACATTTATGAAATATGTCACTTTGAACTGTGTAACTGACAGAGTGATGTTTGTGTGGTTGGTTTGATGGATTGTTTTACTGGTCGTATTTGTTTGGTGCACTTGCTGTATAACTCCAACAAAGTTCAGTCCGGCTATCTGGACGGATTCCTTTTTTTGTTGAGACGTTTTGTCCTTCATCCAAAGGACTTCATCAGTCCGAGGAGCCACAACAAACTCAGTCCCACAAGCAGCACACACATAGTGGACCAACCAGTTTGACGGTGATAAGATGGTTTCTGGGGCCTGCCCTCTCCCCCGTCGACTCCTCTGAGGCAGCTGTAGCCAAAGTGGTTCAAAACATCAAAGTTCATGCTCAATAATCCAGGTACAAAATCCAGCAAAGTTCAGTCAGGTCATCTAGACAGTTTTTTTGTTTGTTTTGTTTTTAGATGTTTCATCCTTCATCCAAAGGACTTCATCAGGGGTGCTTGTGTGTTCATCAGGTTGCTTGTGTGACTGAGTTTGTTGTGGCTCCTTGAACTGATGAAGTCCTTTGGATGAAGGACAAAACAAAACACACACACACACAAAAAGAAACCGTTCAGATGACCTAAATTAATTTTGTTGGATTTTTTTTACCTGGATTATTGAGCACGAACTTTGATGTTTTATGAACTGTTTTCATTTTTACCTGCGCAGGACAATGACGTGTATTTTACTAATCCCAGCACATTTATATTTTTGAAATGTTGATTAAAGTGCACTGCCCTTTTCAATGAATACATTAAATTAAATGTCTAAAGCAACTGTCAGACAGAGTTTGTCATTTGTCCAAGAAACCATCACTGCTTTGTGTTTTCAGAGCTACTTAATTGGCTGGGAGGAATTCAGGAAAAGCAAATGGCTCATCAGCTTCACGGTGGTCATTTCTGTCTCCGTCATCGATTGGATGTTGTCTGTCAGCATGCTGTGTCACGAGGTAAGGCTCAGGCTTCTCTATGTCCCTGGACGTTTCACAACACATGACTTATTTCCAACAAAAAAATAAAAACCCATTATTTTAGCTGTATTACATAACTGCAGCCTACTTTATCTCAGCCACATCTTTATTATTGTGAGACAAAGAACCTGCAAGCAGCTGGAGTTTCTCAGAAAGAGCTCTCAGAGCTCACACAGTCGACTTCTTCACAAAGAAAGATCTGCACCTTCAACAAAAATGTGTCCCTGCTCCGGTGCAGTTTGCCCACATTTTAATGAGGTAATACTGTATGTAAACATTTAGAGAAAAACTTTGTCAAGTTTATTCAAATAACTGCCATGGCAAAACTATTGGATTCTCAAAAGAGAAAATGTAAAAAGAACGAAAGACGCACTGTTTGCAGCTCACAGTTTAGATCTAAGACCTGGTGGAGATTACATCTCAGGTGAAGAAACAAAGGAAGTGGAGCAATTTCCTGCACTCTTGTCTTCACAGAAAGACTGCAGGCTTGTTAGTAAAAGTATACAGTAGTCCCTTGTTTATCACGGGGTTTAGGGAACCACGCCCCCCCCCCGTGATTAATTTTTTTCATTCAACTTTTATTTATACAGGTTAAACCCATTGAGCCTCTGGAACTCATTTACAAGAGAGAAGTGAAAAACCGTGACGTAGGGATACTGTAGTCCAAGTTTCACTCCCAATCTCCCTCCTTCTGTGTAAATAAACAATTTAAATTTAAATACTGTAATATTTTAAATAAACAATTTAAAATATTACAGTATTTAAATTTAAATTGTAGAGAAGAGAAGCGCAGCAGGACATCAAAGGGTTACGCAGCAGCATCACGGAGCAGAAATGTACTTCTTGATCAATTACACTGAAACAACTGAACATAGAAGTTCTAAATACTTAAAAAATTACTTTTAACACTTTTATATTTGGTGATTATGAAGATTTTACGATATGACATACTTTGAATTTTAAGTTGGAAGACAAAAGTCGATCCGTGCGGGTCGACAGCAAAGAGTTAACCCTTCACGAAGCTGCTGCAGCTGGAGGAGAAATGTGGGCGTGGCAGAGAGCTGCAGGTGGCAGAGAGAGGAGATCATGACAGGCTGCAGAGGGAGCTTCTTCTTGCACCTGGGGGCTGCACACAGGTGCAACAGGTGCTAAATCATTTAAAATAATTTATTTTAAATAAACAATCCGTGCCGCTTATGCGGCTCATCCATCAATCAGCCAATTGTGTGTCATGTCCACTCTTACTTTGAAAAACCATGAAAGAGCGAGTCTGCGAATGTCGAACCGTGGAGTAGCGAGGGACTACTGTAATTCATCGCTTCTTCCTGTGATCAGTATCAGACTTTGTTGCATTTATGAAAACATTGTCTAAAAAGTGTGTAAAGTCCTTGTATTGGATTATGTCAAAATAAGATAATGCAGTGATGATCAATAAAATCCCAAAATGCCTCGTGCTGATTTGTAAATTAAATCTTAAACTCAATCATCTCTCAGCGATCAAAGCGCAATTAGGGCGTGTAAATGATGCACAAAAAACAGAGCCTAAACGTGACACTGCACATTCTTAGTAAACATCGTCATGTCAAAGAGGAGAGGGCGTTGCTTCTACCCCATCAGATTTTAGATATTTTAAATAAACAATAATTCAGACCCTCCTTTATCACATACATACTGAGTTTCTGATGAGTATTATATGTGGCATTAGCAGGAAATTTTAGTTTAATGAGGCAATGATTTAGCTGAATCACAGTCTGAGTTAAACACCATAAAGAAATTACTCATTATTTTACACACACAAACCAGCAGGTTGGGGACACTGTGTGACATAATCTGCTGTTTAGGTTGAACCCACATGCAGGCTGATGACAAGGTAAAGCAAGCAAATTATATTATTTTACAAAACTAAACTATAAACGCTGACGGGGCAGCCAAAAACTTACTTTAGAGAGACAGTATGGGAGCAGAACATGTGGCCTAAAGAGGACAATACCCGGACAAAGGAGGAACGACAAGACACTGACTTTATACAGAACACTGATGAGACAGAATGAGAAACACCTGGGGTGATAACAATTACCTGTTTTAAACAAAATAACACAGATGACATTAAAATAAACAGTCGTATAAAAGCATATCAATGAAAAGTAAATAAAAGAAGTGATATAAAACAAAATAAAAACATGCTACATTATAAAACGGAGTAAAATACTAAAAACAGGAACATGTCTGTATTGATTTTTGCATTGACATTGTGTCAGCAAAAGACTCTTTGACCCTTAACTTGTGCACTTTCACCTTCAGTTCCCTCCTTGAACTCAATACATTTCATGTACGATCCGTGGCCTGGAACTACAGTTATCTGAAATTAGTTTGTTGAATTGACCACAAAGTTCAAATATGACAAAACAACACAATTCAGAAACCTTTGGTTCAGACTTGTTACTGAAACTGCAGCGTTTCTCCAAAAATACACTAATAATTGTTCTACAATCACTGTTAATAACTTATATGAGCATATGGCAGCCTTTATGTGGCTCTCTCCTCCACAATCTGCACCCCATCACCACCACACACACTTTATAATCTAGAAGAATAATCCTTTAAGGCACGGATATTACATCACATTGTGGACATGTCTGATATACGTATGTTAGACACATGTTAGAAGTAAGCTGCTCATATGTTAGAAAATAAGTTGCCTACGTCACAATTGCCCAGCTGGTTTCTGACACATGTCAACTTATGAGACTTAACACACGTTACTCATAACGTGTGTGAACCTGTAACTTACTGGAACTCCGTCTTGTCAAAGCTCCAAAAATTCCCGGTTGAAACCTGTGCCTTCGTCTAAAACGTTGTTTTTTCTCTGCAAAAATAAGCTGAGAACTTGTTTACTGATTTTTATTTAAAGCTTTGCGTGACAAATGCTATGCTAAAGAGTTCAAACCACACCGAGCAGCCACCATTTTGAGAACCGAAAAACAGGAAAGAGAGACAGCCCATGTCACGTCAAGGGGCCTCCCTCCCATTTTTCTTAAAGAGACACTCTGCTCGCTCCCTCACTATCCATCCTTCGGTTCAGTCTTATACTGCCGTCCAGTGGTCAAAAAAGGTATTACACACAAAAAATAACCAACATTTCTTCTTAAATTTGACAATAATTACTAATTATTGTCACATTTCAAACAGTATTATTGTTTATTGCAATAATTTCTGAAACAATTAATCGCCCAGCAAAATTTGTTATCGTGACAGACCTAGGCATTGAGTGATTTTGCGAGTTACATGTTGGCCTAAAGTTTGATTTATGCTTTATAACATGTTGACAAATGTTTTACAATGTCACAAGTGTGTGACAAAAACTACATTATGATCTTAAAGGCTTTGCAAGAACTCATTCTGTGCACAACCAGAACTGTTTTTTTGCAGGGTATGCATCAAGTGTTGTGTGATTGGTCAGAACTTTGTGGGTGTATCTATGTGGAAAGGTGGGTGAACTACGGTTACACTGTGGTTTCCACAGCTCCGTTGAGGAGCAGCTGGCTGAGGCTGTTAGAAAATACAGCCATCTTTAAAACTTCCAACAAAAATTATAAAGATAGTCAAATAAATTGTGGAAGGAGATAACACTTTTTTTTAATTATTGTTCTTATGTTTTGAAAATGTAAAAATTATAAAACAGATCACACATCTTTTGGGCTTTGAAAGAGACATCCTGGTGTTTGTGTTGAGCTTAATACAACTTTTGCTGTTTCCTTCTGTTCATACTGCAGCCTCACTACTTTTAGTACAGATCAGATGGGTGGGTCAATCACAAACACTTCTACTAGCTTAATATTAGGCTCGTAGTACAAAAGCAACTCTGGTATGTATATTTTTAACATTCTATTCAGACAAATCCTTTTGGATTCTGGCAGTTTTATGGGGGTGGGGTCCAAACTTTCTTTATAAAGGCCATATCTGGCCCACAGGTCACTCGTTGAGTAAAAACTAATAGAGTTACTCATTGTTTGGTGACTTCAGGCGTAGTTTACTATCAGTCCATCCAGGATTTTAGAACCATGTTTCTGTGGTTGTTGTGGCCTGAAGTGTCTCATTTTGCAGCACCTTTTTCAAAAAGTTACTATCATATTTGAGATGTTTTCAAGCCTTCCATTTACAGTACAACAATTTATTCAGGAAAACTAGCTTCAGGTGTTTCATGCTCATCCTAATTTTTATAAAATCACATAAACAAAAGAGTAAAATATAGTAGTACTATAAAACATAAAAATAATAAATTTAATAGTCATCGAATGCATCAAAACTGGTGAAGTTTCTCTAAATCATTAACTTTTGTGCAGTCTCATCAGTTTTTTCCTCTGCAGCAGTGCAAATAAGACTTTTTTTGTTATTATTTATCTCACACTTGCTGACGATGAGCCACTCAGACAAGCACACCTCTTTACATTTAAACTTATGTTTCTTTAACACTTTTCATAAACGTGCATTTTGATCCACCAGTTTTTTCAGAACATGCAGCTTATGTGAATGCACCAGCCTCTGTCAGTCTCTGGGTATTTACTGTCTGTAGTCACTTTTCCTCCGCTCTGACATGGTTTGTGGTAGAAAAGTGCTTATTAAGCAACTATTTTTGTCTGTTTTACAACAATGTTTGCGCAAGATTAAAACTGTTTTCTACCATTTCTATGTACAAAAAAAGAAAGAAAAGGAAACTTACATGTAGGGATTTTAGTAATAATATCTGATGACAAATTTGATCTTCTGTCATGGACATGTTTTTGTCCTGCAGGCTCAAATTCCAGGAATTGAAAATAAATGTGGAAATAAAGTGATTTATTAATTTTGCAGAAAAGTTGCACATTTGTGTAACAGTTTTTGTGAATTTGCATTCACTGATGGGTCTGTACTATGCACACTGAAAAAGACCTACATTTTATTTTGAAAATCTTGTCTGTTTCATCATTAATCAGAAACTGAGGGTGCGGCGGCTTCTGAGGCCGTTCTTCCTGCTGCAGAACTCCTCGTTGATGAAGAAGACACTGAAGTGCATCAAGAGGACTCTGCCTGAGATCGCCAGGTACATGATTCATTTACGATGCCATGCTAGTATTTTTACAAACCACAACTACAGAACCACAAAAAATACTCATTCATTGTGTGCAACAGGGAATCTGAGGTTATTAGATGAACTGAAACATCTGTGTCTGTCACAGCTGGAAATCTATCTCTGACGTTATTTCACTACTTAAATAAAAATGTGTCTGATATTTAATTGGCTTTTCCATTGATAAGTTCAACTCCACTCAGCTCTCATCTTATCGATTCTTCTCGGGTGTAGGTGATTTGCCACAGTGACTGGTTTCCCTGCTCTGTGAGTGGGATCGTCAATTCAAAGTGGGCAGTATCGTAACAGGTCATTGGGTTCGAGCCACTCCACCAGTTGTGGCCTTAATCGCACCATAACCAGACTTACATTTCTTTAGTTTTCAGCTTATATGTCTGGGTGTAGCCACGCTGCACCATCATATCTCTCTGTAAATGTGCTCATTTCTTGGGGCTCCATCTGTCAACACAATCAGAGAGGAATTGAGGTTCAGATGTAGTTTGCAGTTTTGCTTTTTGTTATTCAGTGATGTACGTAGCTCCGCTGGCCAATCAGCAGCTGCTGTCTGCTTATGTCAAAACTGTCACCATGGAGCAGTCTGCTTGGAACTTCTAACAAGGTGGTCCCATACACCAGGCTGAGTGAGGGTGGGTACAGGCAGTGGGCAGGTCCTTAACTGGTGCGGTGTGGTGCAGAACCAACTTAGAGTAGTATTTATCCTGTCTCTCTCAAAGAGCTCTTTCAGTTCTGTCATTCAGTTTCCTGCTTCCTCTAAATGTGGCCACACATTTGTTGATGTGTAACGTCTGCAGCATCAACCTCTTTCAAAAACATTTAGCACTTCCAAATGACTGAAGGTTAAACAGAACAGTGTAAAGATTCCTAAATGTATTTAATTCTCTAGAATATAAATAATTGTTACCAACTGGGTTCTTCATTGTGGACAATTATCACCAGTAATGTTTGACATGATCAGTGTCAGTGGGATGGTGTGGGGCTTTGTTAAAGGATGACTCAGCAGCTTTAATACAAATTAAATGAGTGAAGTTGCATTTTTTGAGAAAATGCAGTGTGCATGCTTAATGTTGCTAAAATTAGCAAAACAGTAAGTGAGAACTAAAATCAGCAAAGTCGTAAAAAAAGCGAATGTTAGCAAAACTGTAACTTAAAGTTATATTCTGCAAAACAGTTTCTAAAAACTAAAATGATCAAAACGTAAAATATAAATTAGAGAAACCATAGCTAAAAGCTGAAATTAGGAAGACAGTACCTTAAAGCTGAAATTAACAAGACAGTAGCTAAAAACTGAAATTAGGAAGACAGTACCTTAAAGCTGAAATTAACAAGACAGTAGCTAAAAACTGAAATTAGGAAGACAGTACCTTAAAGCTGAAATTAACAAGACAGTAGCTAAAAGCTGAAATTAGGAAGACAGTACCTTAAAGCTGAAATTAACAAGACTGTAGCTTAAAGCTGAAATTAAGAAGATATTAGCTTAAAGCTGAAATTAGCAAGAAAGTAGCTAAAAGCTGAAATTAAGAAGATAGTAGCTTAAAGCTGAATTTAACAAGACCGTATCTTAAAGCTGAAATTAACAAGACGGTAGCTAAAAGCTGAAATTAAGAAGATATTAGCTTAAAGCTGAAATTAGCAAGACAGTAGCTAAAAGATCAAATTAGCAAGACAATAGCTAAAAGATGAAATTAGCAAGACAATAGCTAAAAGCTGAAATTAGCAAGACAGTAGCTTAAAGCTGAAATTAAGAAGATAGTAGCTTAAAGCTGAAATTAAGAAGATAGCAGCTTAAAGTGAAATTAACAAGACAGTAGCTAAAAGCTGAAATTAAGAAGATATTAGCTTAAAGCTGAAATTAGCAAGAAAGTAGCTAAAATATTAAATTAGCAAGACAGTAGCTAAAAGATGAAATTAGCAAGACAATAGCTAAAAGCTGAAACTAGCAAGACAGTAGCTTAAAACTGAAATTAACAAGACAGTAGCTTAAAGCTGAAATTAGCAAGACAGTAGCTAAAAGCTGAAATTAACAAGATAGTAGCTTAAAGCTGAAATTAACAAGACAGTATGCTGGTGAAGATTCTCAGTCATCCAGGACATGATGAATTCAAAAAGCGTTCAATATAAAAACAACTGGACTTTTTTTTGTAACAGAAGACGCATGATGTATTGAATGCTTTTTGAATTCAACAAGACAGTAGCTTAAAGCTGAAATTAACAAGACAGTAACTTAAAGCTGAAATTAGCAAGACAGTAGCTAAAAGCTGAAATTAACAAGATAGTAGCTTAAAGCTGAAATTAGCAAGACAGTAGCTAAAAGCTGAAACTAGCAAGACAGTAGCTTAAAACTGAAATTGGCAAGACAGTAGCAAAAGGCTGAAATCAGCAAGACAGTAGCTACAAGGCAGTAGCTAAAAGATGAAATTAGCAAGACAGTAGCTAAAAGTTGAAATTACTACTATTACTACTAGGATTATTTGTATAATGACATTAAATAATTAAATAAGTATAAAAGTTATAAATACAACAATGTCATAGTGCATTATTCCTTACTGAGCTGAATGTTTTGATATCTGAATATCAAATTATATTTCCTTATTTCATACTAGAATATGAATATAGTGAATAAATATTGAATCGCTGGTCAGAAAGACCTTTTTTAAAAAAAATACTGATCATGAGTTTGACACAGTAGATTACAGGTAAACAAAAGAGGAGCCAACTTGGATGTTTTTGAGCTTGTTCCAGCTCCAGTCTTGGTCTATCTGTATGTTTTCCTGTCGTTGCAGTGTTATACTGTTGCTGGCTTTGCACCTCTGCCTCTTCACCATGATCGGCATGCTGCTGTTTGCTAAAACTGAAGTGAGTTCGTGTCTTTGTGATCACACACATGTATTTGTGGACACGCCATAGACTGCAGCTGTAACTCGGGCAAGCTTAGAAAAACATCAGTCAACTCAGAGTTTGAAGATAAAGACTGTAGATAAAGATAAATATACTGTAGATTGTGGAAAACCTGCTTGGCAAGTCCGTTGTTTTGAAGCTTGTTGGAGAACATAATACCACCTGAACAATGTTTGCTTCTGTTCAGGATCCCAAGAAAAATGGGGAGTGGGAGTTACATTTCAGGGACATGCCCAGTTCCCTGACCTCTCTGCTGGTGCTGCTAACCACAGCGAACAACCCCGACGGTACACAATCAATCAAATGATGAAGAAGCCATGCTCCTGGCCGTTATCGATCTGTAATTGTCATGAAACTGACTTACTGTGTTCTTCATCCCAGTGATGATCCCTGCCTATTCACTCAACAGAATCTACGCCATTTTCTTTGTCACCTTCAGTGTCATTGGTAAGCAGGTATTTTTCCAACAGCTGTGCAGATGTGTATTTTATCTGACAAAGACTATGAATGTACTGAAGTTAGTTGTCCTGTTTTTTTCTTCTTGACAGGAACCTACTGTCTGATGAACCTACTGACCGCCATCATCTATAACCAGTTCAGGGGATACTTACTGGTGAGTCTCTCACGCTATATGAAATGTGGCTGTCAGTATTTATCCAAAGAGTTATGAGTCAGTTGTGTCGGTCTGAAGACCAGTAAGCACTGGTTGAATAAATACCCTGTGCATCACACATCAGTAACATGTCTGGGTATGGGAGGAAGGATATTTGACTGAAATGTTAAAGTGGCCCAATCCTGGAACAATGGAAACTTTTTCTGATTGTTCTGAAGCTCTAGCAGTGCATTGCTTTTAATATTTATACATTTGTTGGTAGTTTTAGTTCTATTAAACTAACAGCAGTTATACAGGGCTGTTCCCAGATAGAAATGTGGGTGTGTTGATGTAACCATGATGTGTTGAAACAAGCTCGGGCTGTGGAAAGTAGTTAGAGGGAGATGTCTGAAAATCACTCTATACGCCCATCACTGGATGATGATTTGTAATTTTGTGTTTTTAAGTTCTAAAATAAAATCATTGATCTGTGTTTACATGCAAAGGAAAAACATCTACCCCGGTACATGAACGAAATGCTCTCTAAAACTGATCTACCAGTGAGTCTGTCCGTCCCAAACAACTCAAACCCTGGGAGAGTCGTGTCAAGACACTTTATCTCTGCTGCGTCACATTGTGTTGGGATGAATTTGTATATGACTCAGTGTGTCACAGCTAACCCACAGTACCAGGAATGGTACAACTCTTACTGTACATTTGCCAAAACAGTGATAAGCATTACTGAACCTTTTGTATTTGGATTAAAAGCTCCCTCAGTGACTACACAGCCATGAACACGCTGCAGCTCTTTGAGACACGTGTTTGTCCAGCCGCAGTACAAACTCACAGTATGTCAGGCTTCTCTGGTCATAGACACGTGACATTATCATGACGAGTTTCAGAGACTTGTTGGCTGATGAGTTGTTTTACACCCTCCGTGACTTTCAGATAGATCTTATAAAGTCTTCAAAACACTTGCACAGTATACAGTGTACTTTTACTAAGATCATGTACACACAGTGTTTCCCCTAATTTACTTGCATGGTGCTCATATCTTCTGTAATTTTAGTCGACATGGGGGGTGGTTGTGGGGGGTAGACGGAGACATGTCCGTGTTGCGCTGTGCGTACCAACAGTTTTTGAGCTGGGGTGGGGGGGGTATTAGTGGGTGGAGACAGCTCAGCGTGAGTGAAGGGGAGCTCTACCCACTAGCTTTATAGCTAGCGCATCTGTATTGCACGCTGCTAGCTTAGCGCTACGTCAGTGCTGGCAGTCGTCGGTGGGGGGGGGGGTGTCGGTAGGCAGGGCGCTCGGTTCTGTTGACAGGGCGGGGTGCCCTGCTTGTATAATGGTAGGGGAAACAATGAAAACCTTTGAGAAGTGGCCTGTATGCAGGAAAAAACTTGAATATGTGGTATTGTGGGGGAGGGTGTAACCTCTAGGTACAGAAGAAAAAAATCAGTCAAAATATTTATTTCTGCTTTAAGCTCTGCCTTAAATACGCGGCGAGTACCTCTCTTGCGAAGTCTGATGATGTGGAAGAACATGAGGAGAAAGAGGAAGTTCCACTCCAGCAGCTCCTGTCAGTCGGCCACTCAGGGGCTTGGACATTCCAAACAGTTCACAAGATAGATGACTAAGAACAGGTGTATACTGTAAACTTTGAATATATGCAAGATACTTAAAACAACATTTTTCTCAAGAGTTTTTGCCTTCTTCACTGTAAACGTTGCAGACAACCAAAATTTTGGGCGGACTACCAGATTTTGTCAAGAGGTTGTCCGCTGGACAAACTGGAACATTTCCTCATGTCTACCCCTGCGTTGAGTTGAACCAGTTGGCGTTTTCTGTTTACTGTCCTGATATGAACTTCTGCTGTGAATTGACATTTTATAAGTTAATGTAATTTAATCATTATTTCATTTATTTTCCACACTTTGCTTTTTCAGATGAAGTTGTGTTGCTTTACTTATATTTGGAATGAAAGCTCTTCTGAAAAGAAAGATTGAGAAGCTTGATTGTTTTTGCTCTGAGTCACACTATTGAGTTAAAAAAAAACAGCTGCTGCTTGAGACAAAAGGAACACAGTTTTGGGAAACACCACGGATTGTTAAAGGACCTAACATGCAGATGAATCAGGACTGCCATCTACTGGGGTTGGACAGGATCAGAGTTCAAGAAACTGAAAATTTAAATCACAGGAAATAACATTTTGATAATATTGAATTGATCAGTATTAGTATAAAAACAGACTTAAGATGTATTACAGCTGCAGTAACTTTTTCTGGACTTCATGAAGAATAGAAATCATTAAAAAAAACATGTTTTGGTTCAAACATATTTTAGCTGAAGAAGATTAAAACATTCTAATCTGAATTAATTCACATCTAAAACATCCATAACCCAGTTTGGTATATAAAGACACTCAGCTGTGCATGTTTCTTGTACAGATGTCAATGCAGACATCCATCATCAGGAGGCGGCTGGGGGTTCGAGCAGCTTTCCAAGTCCTCAGCTGTCAGTGTGGACATGCAGAAGATGCTCAGTAAGAACAAACCCACACACACATTTAAATCTTCATCCTCCCCCTCCACACACTCTGTATTTCTTCCTCTTTCAGAGAGCTTGTGAGTGTTGATGCTGTGCTGGAAGTGATGACCAAAGTCAAGATGAAGAGCTACTATAAAACAGCTATCAATACGGTTAGAGCTAACACACAAACAGAACAAATAATATCTTACCTGTTGTAGATAAGTCTTTAAATAGCCTCTGCTTGGAGAAATATTGTTTATGTCCAACAGGACTGCGAGTTAGATAGTCTGAATGCAACCAAAACCAAAGAATTGCTGCCAAATTAAAACAGCAGTTCACAAATTTTTATAATGGATCATGCAACTATTTTATAGACGTTTACGCCACCATCAGCTTCTCAATCCATAGACGTCTGTGGTTCTCTGCATGTAACTGCAGCATAGATTAACACCTTCAGTGCAACACACAGTTGGAATTCAAAACGTCCGGCACAGCCTGGGGTCAGTTAATACCAGCAGGACATTCTTGTTTCTGCTAAAGTACCCGTTTAATGTTCAGCTGACGAAGACGTTGCAGAGATAGGTGCCAGCTCCCAAAAAGGAAATGCAGGAAATGAAAATGAATAGATGGTTTGCACAAATCACTGTTAAATTTAGAAGGCTGGACATCAAAGTTCGTGCTCAATAATCCAGGTAAAAAAATCCAACAAATTTAAATCAGATCCTCTGGATGGTTTCTTTTTGTTGAGACTTTTCATCTTTCATCCAAAGGACTTTATCAGTCCAAAGAGCCACAACAAACTCAGTCCCACAAGCAGCACACTCACATAGTGGACCAACCAGTTTGATGGTGATAAGATGGTTTCTGGGGCCCACCCTCTCCCCCGTCAACTCCTCTGAGGCAGCCATAGCCAAAGTGGTTCAAAACATCAAAGTTCATGCTCAATAATCCAGATAAAAAATCCAGCAAAGTTAAGTCAAGTCTGTTGTGGCTCCTTGGACTGATTAAGTCCTTTGGATGAAGGACGAAATGTCTCAACAACAAAAAAATAGAAACTGTCTAGATGACCTGACTGAACTTTGTTGGATTTTCTATCTGGATTATTGAGCATGCACTTTGATGTTTTGAACCACTTTGACTATGGCTGCCTCAGAGGAGTCGATGGGGGAGAGGGCGGACCCCAGAAACCGTCTTATCACCATCAAACTGATTGGTCCACTATGTGAGTGCTGCTTGTAGGACTGAGTTTGTTTTGGCTCCTCGGACTGACAAAGTCCTTTGGATGAAAGATGAAAATTCTCAACAAAAAGAAACCATCCAGATGACTTGACTGAACTTTGTTGGTTTATTTAAGAGTCTTAAAAGTTTTATGACAACCCTCACCCTCAGTGTTTCCCCTTGTCCTGCATTTAATTCATGTAAGAGCCAAAATGTGACTATTATTCAACACCGGGTCCTTATTTTTCAGTTAACTTTACCCAGAAAGCATCAAAATGTTTTTTTGTGCCATATATGTGCAAACACACAACTCTGTGACAAACTTCATCTTTATGTAATGCTCTCTGCTGCATTTCGTCCCTGTCAGGCGGTGCGGCGGTACGCAGACGTGGGCTCCATGGATCGGCTGCAGTTCAAGGAGATTTTTGATGAACTGGATAAGGATTGCATCAAAGAGGTAGAACAGTGCCTGCTGGCCCTCACGCCGATCTCCACCCAGCTGAACATGTTTTCTTTGACTGTAGTTTTGTGTGTCTGTTTGTGCGTTTGCTTCAGCACCCTCCTCTGCCTCAGTACACATCGCCGGCCCTTCAGAGGCTGCAGGCGGTCTTCAGTCACTACTATCTCACTGTACTTGGTAACGCAGTGGCACTGGCCAACGTCATGTGCATTTGTGTAAGTCTCACACGCAGAGGCATGTACAAACATGCTAACCAAGGCGAGCAGCCCCTGTGATGCAACCTTACTGTGTTCCAGACTATCCTGGTCCTGAATTCTGAAAAGTCGACAGCAGAGAGAGACAACAACGTCTTGGAGGTGAAGACATGCACGACGTGTTACACAGTGGTCCACCATCCTTAGAAGACAATTTTCTAAGAATGTTTATTGAATTTTGGCAGTTTTATTCGATAAAATCCTAAAAATCAAATGGATTTAATGAATTTGATGAATATCTGTTTCTCTTGCATTGTTCCACTGCCAGGTCACCAACTTGTGCTTCATCCTCTACTACTTGTTTGAAATGTCTGTGAAGATCTTTGCCTTTGGTTGGAGAGGCTACCTGTCATACAGGAACAACATCTTTGATGGTTTTCTCACCATTCTCTTACTGGTAAGATGGCTCAAACTACACATTTTTGTTATTCTGGGGGGAAATTAGCTCTGCTTCAGTGCACCTAATGAAGGAAGCACAGTGCTTGAGTCACAAGTGTCTGAGCACTGAAACAATGCTCAAAATCTTTAAAAAATTAAACAAAAAACTAACAGGGGAGATTTTTTTTATTTCACCATACTCAAGACCTCAAAACAATTTGTTGTCACCATGACAATAACCATCCATCAATCTATTATTAGGCAGACAGGTCGATGAACTGACAGACAGGGAGTTCAATGATTTCAGGAAAAAAATCAAGAAATGAAAGTTTAGAAAACTTGGAACAAGTAAGACTTTTTTCAAAAGATAGACAGAAGAAAGCCTCTTGTTTTAAATCAATATGTTAGTGGGACTAAAGGTAGAACAAACCACACGATGTCCTGTGGATGTTTCAGGGTGAGATGTTTGTCCGTTTCATCAACGGGACTAAAATACTGTGGTAGAACCTTAACAAGAGTAATGCTGATGAAGTGAAGGAACTTTGTAAAGAAAAATGGGCTAAACCTCCCTCATAAAATCTTTGAGTCTGAGTAGGTTGTTGAGAAGAGGATTTATAGCTGCTGAAGGTGGATCTACAAGCTGCTGGATGTTGGTGTTGGCAGCAGCTTGAGGAGGGAGGTCCAGACATCTCTTTCCACAGCCACCTCTTCCAGCTCTTCTGGGAGGACTCCAAGACATTTTTGGACCAGCCGAAAGCCGTAGTCTCTCCAGCGTTTCCTGGGTTTTCCCCAGGGTTTCCTTTTAGGTGGACATGCCTAGAAAACCTCTTTAGGGAGGCACCCAGGAAGCATTCTTACCAGATGCTGGAACCACCTCAACTGGCTCCTCTCGATGGGGAGTCTCTCCCAGATAACTGAACTTCTCACCCTATCTCTAAGGGAGAGTCCAGCTACCCTGTGGAGGAAACTCATTTCTACTATTTCATTGTTTTTTGGATCACTCACTACCCAGAGTTGGTGGCCATAGGTGAGAGTAGGAATGTAGACTGACCGGTAAACGAAGATCTTGATTTTTAGAATCTAGTTAAAACACTAAACTGAGGAACAGCTTCTACCCTGAGGCTGTTAGACTCATGAATCTCTAACCAGGATAATCACTGTGAAAAATTACATCATGTTGCTGCTGATCTGTTTTATGTTGCTGCTGATCTGTTTTATGTTGCTGCTGATCTGTTTCATGTTGCTG